GTTGGGGCCGTGAAAAGAAGTACAAGGGAGTTAATTCAGGGTTATTCGTTCCCATCTGGATGATCCCCGTTCTAACCTCTTTCTCAAGAATTACTCAGGTTCCTGATGAAGGCGTCGTGAGATATGACCACATTCCACGTGGGTAATTACATAGGGTATCCCAAGAATGCAGGTTAACCATTATGTGCGGTCAGAAATAGGTGGTTTTTCTGTGCCAATCAGGAACGGGTTCATGGATGAATTCACTCGGAGCGCGATTGTTCTGGACTTCTGGATTGAAACGATCATTACCGGGGTCCAGGCAAACAGAAAGCATCCTTCTACCCACAGCTTCCCATCCTCAGAACTTCTTGGATAGGGCTGACTAGAAGCATAATTGGTTAGGGAAGGACTCATGGACGTCTTTGGGTCTCTCGGGAGACACATGAGATGAGTCCAGCTACATAAAGGTTCGGGAACCCATCACAAGTGATTTATGGTGTTGTGTGTACATCAAACGATGTTTTCTTCCCAGTTGCGTATATAACGACGTTTTCTTCAAGGATATTGACGTCAACAAGAGTGGGCTCCTGAAAGGAAAACATCATAAACCTCCGCGATGAGAGGAGATCTTATCGTCTCCGCTCCATGACTTGCTCAGCAATATTTTAGGGAAGGAAATAGCCGTGCAAAGTGCAGGCCTAGTGACGGCTGTGAGTAGTCAATGCACTGATAGGGACGAAACAACGTATTGTTATCGCTGTTGTTGTTCATAATTCCCTTTTCAAACAGAACCAATGGTTTCCATTCAAATAGTAGGCTGTACTACACTACTGCCTTCAATGTGCAGTAGGGGCACTGTATGGGGGAACATTCAGTCACTGAGGCCGGAAATACCCGAAGACCTACACGACCGGGGTAGGCAGCATGTGAGACCTGATAAACAGTAAATTTGAGTTGTGGAAATAGCTCTCGTCACTCGCTGGTCCTTCGGGACGATCTGTCCCTTCCTGCTCGTTGGGGTTGACAGGGGTGACAGTTTTTCAGGCAGCCGGCACTACTCCCAAATTGAAACTAATTCTGGGAATGGCAAGCCTTCATGACTGGAGAAAGGAAAAGAAAAACCTCGAAAGTCCTTTCCAACCACAGGGACGGTTGGTTTTGAGAATGAGACATGAAGTATCATGAAGTTATAGGAAACCTCGAGGAAAAACCTCGAGGAATTATGGAAACCTTCCTGACCGTCCTTTCCCCGAAGCTGTTCTTTCTTCGAGACTCATCATATATTCCCTCATCAATATGATCGCCAGCACTTGAAAATGGTCAAGTGCTCACAGTCACGCATCCGTCGAACCTCTTCCATTATCGCTGTCACTCACGAGTCATCGAAACGAATGCCTGGGACATGACCATCGAAGGTCGTTTGCATGCCCTGAAAGGACGTTCACACCTTTAACGAGGTGCCGATGATGGTCGGCGAGTGCAATCAAGAACTCGCTACAAGGTCTCACTGGAAAGTTGGAGAAGTTTTTCACTAAAGGGGGAGGGAGGTGGGGGGGGGGGGGGGGGGGGTTTGGCCAATCGCCTGAAACCTTTTTGACCTGGATCCGGAGAAACCGGACGACATGGTCTGTCCCACACGGGATGAGCATATGTATGTCGCCCTTTCAGTACCCCCATGGACGTTTCATTTCGTGAATGTGTGTGTGTTTCACACCTTGTGAATTTGTATAGCGACGGCTGTTGTTCCAGCGACCTGTTCCAAGTGGGCAAAACAATCGCCGATGGGGCGCCTATTCAATAGCGTCTGCCGCCATTGCGATTGTTGACGTTCTCTAAAGCAGGAAGGTCCGCAAATTCGTTGAAACATCGTAGGGATTCACTTTTGCGTTTACTGTACACCCTCAGGGTCGACGGGACGGGGATGGGGACGAGGGTGGGGAGTAAGGTTGAAAGTGGTTCCGAGAAATGTCCACAGGAATGGATCAATAGGAAGGTATCGAATGATTTGATGGATAAAGCTGGAATTAAGTGATTTATGGCCTCCCGGTTGCTAACTGCATCACAACTAACCTGCGCGTTGTTAAGCAAAGCCTCATTAACGAAGGAAGGCCCTGCAGGGCACTTTTCTGTCCAGGGAAGAAAAACGGACAGCTTAAGAGTGGCCATTACCTTACCAGATAAACTGCTCATTTTGGCAGATAGCTGTTTGTTCTATAGATCATTATTTGTTTATGCCAAAATCTCCAAATTTTGCAGTACTTTTTTTTGCAAAACGATTTCGAAATACCAGGTATCCTTTAGTCATTGGCCTGTCACTCCCTTCGAGGGATTAGCGCGCCTCGGCGATTACGTAACTCTTATAATTATGGGTTTCCTGGTGACTCAAAGTCGTTGTTCGTCAAGGAACGGGTACTACAAGGAAAATGGCTGAGTAAAGGGCAAAACTTTTGGCGTTAGACTGGAATAGGCCTATCTTGCTGGTTGGGAGGGCATGGCGAGATCTGCCGTCTGTCAAGGTATGGGAACTAAGCCCATCAGCATTCAACAGTTGTTTTGAACTTACTCACAACTTCTCAATTTTATTCGGTACTCTCACATGTTAATAGTCAAAAACCCGGATTCAAAAGTTAAGGGTAACATCAAGTTACGCCATGCATTTACGATCAATACTGGATGCAGAAGCAGATTAAAAGGGAATGCTGTCATGCACCTGGTATAGCACATGTATGACCGGTAGTTGTGGGATGGACCTTATTCTTTCGAAGTTTGGCTGAGAGCATTGTGTTTTCCTGCAGAGATCAACATAATCCGACCAGGGATCGACCTTTTCGAGTGGGTGCTGCCAAGCTGAGACTCATTCTCCTTTTCCCCCACGCCCGAGTAGAAATCTTACAATTAGTCAGGAACGCGGTCACCTTGAACACATGTTCAGTGAAGGAGCTCCTAGCTATTATGTGCCCCAAACAACCTTGAGAAAACAGAGTGGTCGTTATAAGACGTCCCTATCTTCAGGGCCAAATAAAGGTGTTCCATGAGCTAGGTTCTTCGAGCTCTAGCCCGGACCCCTAGCTTATCAACTGAAAGGACAGGTTTAGTAGAATCTCAAGTAATGCAAATGTGACGTCGTTAAACAAAATTGGTGACATATCGAGGGTGGTCTCGTTCCGTAAGCCAGCCCGACAAGCGTTTACAGCCGAATCGGAGTTTAAACATACGAGATGCTCGCGAATATCACATCAAGTGCAACATCTGGTGTTCAATGGACAAGTTTACAAGCACTCGTCACGACCACATCTGTTCCACGGGCAGATTCCAGAAGGGTTCACTTGGCTCAAGAGTGCAATAGCCAACATAAGGGAAAATGGTTATGAGGGAAATGGTCCATGGTAGGAATCCTGAAGAATAGTATTCGGGGAAGTTGAGCATGTTGAGGGATTGTGCAGGTTTCTAGAGCGAGGGTGGTAGAACAAGCCCTGGTATTCGATATTCAAGCAGAATCATAGTACTCTGAACGCATTGCATACAAATGCGCGGAACAACCGATGTTTCGGTTTTTGCCCTCCCAAACAGGTTTGGTACTACCTATTGTCTAGAACACGTTTGGTACTACCCACTCGTTTCCGTTCATGAGGGGCTTGGCTATGGTGTTATATATCGATCCTTGATCGTGGTAGTGCCGCCACTTGCTTCTGCTCCACCTGACCCGATATAAGAGCAAGAGTCGTCGAAGATTTTGAAAAGATGCCACTTTGTTGGGTCATTTCCTACTTCCCACGAAAAAGACTTCGAGTAACTTCGTTCGGGAAGAACTGCTACGGATAAGCGCCTCCGACCGTCTCCTCCTTGATTTCCTTTGTCAAGATGGAAGTAAGCTTTCACTCTCCTAGGTATCCAATGGATGGGCCCTAATTTTTGTGGTTCCGAAAGTACAAAGCAGGGGGCAGCGATCCTATTATTAGCGGAACTTGACGTATTCTGAACACGAATGTAAACTGTTCTGAGGCTTTCTGTGGACTGATAAGGGTCTTATAATGGTCGTTGAGCGGCTACATCTGAAGAAGCTCTTGAAGAATCGCCGTAAGGTGATGAAAGAATACATCATAAGTTGGAATGCTGCTGGATGCGCCACGCACCCAACCTCCCATCAACGGCTGTAAAAGCGTTTGAAAAGCGTTTGATTGTGAAATCGTTCTCTATGCCAAGGGACAGAGTGATTCGTATGGCGGTTGTCCTGAACTTAGTGGCTTCTTCTGTTTGCCTGCCCGTCTGCCTGTTGTCTGGCCCTCATGTGAGTGAATGAGCTTTTCAATTGAATTTGCTGTCACACCCAACTTAACCTTTAGTTTTCTTCTGGCTTCAACTTTAAGACCACACGTACTCGCGGTGTAAATCGATCGTGAGGTTCCTCAAGGCTAAAGTCAAAGAAACAGCCAGTGATCAATCCGAACTGACTACAGCAAGCTAACTGCCTTGGCCAGTTCCGGAATAACGTCCTAGCGCAATCAATCTTCATGCGTCAGACGGCGCCCGGAGCTCCATTGGAATCAATTCGACCTCCAAAAAGAGGGAATCGTTTGTCTATGCTGCTGCTGCTGCTGCTGCGGCTGCAGTAGACTATCGACCTCAGCTTCGAGGAAAGGCTGTCCCCGTTGCTGAAAAAGGTTTTCTAACGAAATTTGAAAAATGGCTTATGACAGCACGAGGCTCGCCGCCATGTGTATTAATGGGTAAGCCTTCAACATAGTACGAACTCTTTGCTACTGTTATGACCATGCTAATCAATAAATCAATAAAATATTTTCTTGTGTTCGGTAATAAAGGCTTTGCAGCTTGTGAGTGAGCTGTTTATTTGGCTTTGACTTGCTGTTAGGATTTTTTGAACTTACAAAATGTGGTCGACTAGAATTTCATACCCTAAGATACCTAATCATGCCCTTTCCTTGGCTTCTAGCTATTCCAAAACTTTCTGGTATTATCGATTCTTGGAACTGCCTACATAAATGGTTACCATTTTCAGCGAAGATGAAGTTAATATGATATCATCTGGCGAGGAAAGTCGACTACACGAAGATCTGTCGAGTTCTTTAGAGGTATCAATCGATCGATTTCCATCAATTACACGTGGCAGGAAATAATAGAAACCCAAAGTTTTTTCTTTAGGATCTTGTCGGTAATTTCGATGAAAGAATAAATTCATGTTTGAAAAATCCGGACGTCAATACAGAAGATATCGCTCCAGTACAAGTTCGAACACAGGATGAAGTGATGGCAGAGAGCCAGTAAGTTATTTTTGGAGGATTGTTGAATTGATCCTTTCATATAATCAAGTCGAATTAAAGTGAAATCAAAGGTAAAATGATAAACGATAAAGTCTTCGAGCGTTGATCACTCCCGTCTAAGGGATGCACCCACGCATTCGACTCTCATTCAGAATCGTAGTGGCTTATTGAGTGCGCATGTGGCAATGACTTGCGGTGACCAGCCGATGTTTAAGTCAATGATTTTATCATCCCAGACGAATCTGNAATTTACCGACTCTGGAGGGATGGAAGGCTTGGTTTGCCTAGGCGGATATCGATCTGGGGTTCGAACCCGTGACCATTCGTGTGTGATAGTGCGCCACTTGCCACTAAATCAACTCAGCCCTTAAATCAAAAGCAACCAACCTGATTTACGGTATTAGGTATCCCTCAATACACTATATTCCCATTTGATGAATGAATCATATTGAAAGCAAAATTTTCCTATACATAAATATCATCAGTTGAATCATCTATCGATATCAACAAATAATTTGTGGGAAAGGTTGATCAATAATTAAGTTTTCGTTCGATTTATTGAATTTTATTCCTTTTTCTCACCCACATTTTAGATGTCAATAATAGAACTCATGGATCGAAAAATTCCCGTTTTAATAGACTTATGAGAGGGTTTCCTTGGGTTGGTTTATGTTTGAGGGAATCCCACAAACATATGCAACCTATAAATCTAGGAATTCGCTTTTCTCGGTGAAAATCTGGTTAATATGACCGTTTGTTGGCCTGTACTAGTCCCCTTTTCAATTAGGAACCCAACGGAATGTGCCTCCAAACTAAAATGAAGGTAGATTTTGTGTCAAGAGCATATCGCTCAGCATCGGATACTCCATCTTCACGCTTTAGCCCTTCTGGGGCCAGCTATTAGCCCCGCTCCTAAAACGGCACTGCACCACTTCCTACCGTATCCGACCAGTTGTGACCAGATTTAGAAACTCTACTGAATGATTTTTGGCCACTTCTCATCGATCATCGAACAGCAGCATTGATTTATTCTGCAGAAAAGCCGTCGAATTGTTGTCATTTGTCGTCGAACGGCAGTGTTAAGTGGTGGGCAACGAAAAAAAAACCCCGCTAATACCGCGATCTGTTTTCTGACGAGCACCGGTGCTTTGTAGAACTGCAGATGTTCGCGATGGTGTCGTTCACTTCTTTTCTGACAGTCTTCATGAAAAAAGTTGACAGCTATCTGAACGATGCACTCCTGTCGAGAGTAGGATCTCGCTAGGAGATCTAGCGGGGTCACTGCTGAAGGTGAAAAAGTTTTCCGTCTCAGAAAAAGCGCCACGTATTCGCCTCAGGCTCAGGATCGTGGAGGTGATAGCGAGCTCCTGACATCCATTTCACGTCCGATCCCAGCTTCTCATGGAAGCGTTGTGTTCATTTAGCTTGAGAAGGGTCCGATACTGCGGGAGGGTAACCAAGCCATGCTCACGGCAGATCTTGAACTATCCTTCAAGCCTTTCGACATCTCGCCATTCCCATCGTTTTCATTCGCAGGATCAGTGGTTGGGTTTAATGTTTGCTTTAATTATGGGGCTTTGTTTATGTCTTCTGTTCAGATCTATAAACATAAGGAATTAATAGCGGCAGGCAGCCGTTAAATTGAATGCTGCTTCTTACCACATCAAACAATATGGGAGAAGCCAGAGCCCAGAGAAACATGGTGACGGGGGCAATGACAATCCCATGAAACCGACCTCAGTTGTGTAGCTGAGCTCCTGAAAACACACATGAGACGAAATCAATTCTGAAATGGTCCAGAATTTTATTTTCGGGAGAATCATGCATGTGGTAAGGAGTGAAGGTAGTAGGGAGACATTCCTGTCACCATTCTCCTATTTGTCTACAGGTACCGTCTGGTGGCACCACCCTCTTTTTTTTAGTAGTTCCGCTTCGTTTCCCTTGGCCAGCTACGCTTTTGATTGATGACTTAACGATGAAATTTATTGTAGTGGAAAGTAGTAGTTGTCCTGCTACATTGGTGGAATTTATTTTCCAGTCTGTGCAGAATGTAAACGATTTGTCATCACTTTGCACTTTCTCTTTTTGTCAGTGATTAGGACAACTGTCACTTGCACAGATTCTGCAAGCAGTAGGATCAGATTCGTAGTTGGAAACATGGGAAATTTCAGCCGAGGCCTGAATTCTGTTTATCAACAGATGTGTTTAGTTCGAGACAACTGCCACTCATATTTTCTATTACTCAGATAAACAGCTGTCAAATTGTGACTATTTTGACCATTCTTTCAAGCCGCTAATGTTGAAGGGACCCATGGTCCTCTGGGGAGTATACATATGGAGTCGTGGGGATAATAGTCGTATTAGCGGCTGACTGCAACCCGAAATCCAATTGCTCTGTTTCTGGCCCGCCGCCGTCCGTCCGTCCATCCGTCGGTCCGTCCTGCTGGCGTCATGGTTCATTATAATGCACAGAGGGCTGAACTAGGCGAGCTCGGGGGGTTTACTGGCGTCAGCAGAACGAACAGAATAGCTTGCTAATGGTATTCGACCGATAGAATACCCTGGAAATAATTGTTCCATGTATTCCGAAGAATGGAATCAAATGAAGGGAAGGGCTTTCCAGGAAGGGTTTCATGTAACAAGATCGATTTTTACTATCCTACACTGGTTAGGAGTTTATTTCGCCGAGTTCTGTCAATTTTCGAGAGGGGATGAAAATGAATGTGGTTCGCTTTGGACGGGTAGGTTGGGCAGATTAGAGTACGAGGGAATTAATAGATCGCTTAAATCTTGGCTGAGAACACCTACCTCCTTTCCTGCTCCTCCTCTCCCACTTTTCTTCTTGCCCATGATCAAGGCTATTGAGAAAACCATGAAATGTCTTTATGACTCTGAATGAAATTGAAATAGATGGCGCATTCAAAGAAAACCTAACCATCTGCTTCACCCAGGAATGCTTCACCCGTTGCAGTGTAAGGCATAGGAATATCTGGGAAAAGAAGATGCCTCAGTAGATAAAGCGGTATGAAAGTACCATTGAAAAAGTTGTTGTAGAATAAAATTTTTTGAAAAATCTTAAATGTGGAATCAATAGCAAAGGTTTGCAGGCAAACTTTGGTCACCCGGCTGATCCCGGTAACAATAACTTCCCACTAATAGTCCATTTAGTAAGAAATCTCTCAGTATATCGAAAAAATGTAGTTATACTTAATTAGCGTAGTTAGAGCGAAGATTAGACGTTATTACTGCCTCGAATCTTGTTTTTCCACTCGTCTGCCCTATCTTACATGCATGCGCCGTTGCCGGACATTAATCATGGAGAAAAGTTTTTACCGTAATTCCTTTCAGAGAACTGGATTAATTTCACGGCTCTAAAAGGGGAATGGCATCTTTATGGGGGGAAATCGTGGGTATCAGTCTGGAAGATTACAGATGAATAGCAAAATGAAGTTTCAAAGGAAAAGGAAAAGACTCGCTGGAAGAACATGCAGCTCAATATTGAAGGGCTGTAAGGCTCAAGAATTTAGTAATGGATATACATTCAGAAATGTCCTAGAGAGGGGACCACTCGCTAAGAAAATAAAGAAGAAGTCGAGTGTGTTGCTCTCTACTGCTTTTGCATAACATATTTGCCTTTCGTTGCTTCAGAAGGTGCGGGGCTGTTGTGACCCTTAGCCAGGGATCAACGCTTGCCTATGTCAACTAAGGCTTCTACTCATCCGGGTCGTTCACACGGCACCAGACTAGACTAGGAGGATAAAAATACCGATTTGTACATCGGCTGGCCACCATAAGTCATGATATAGGCTAGCCATATAGCTTCCAAAGACCACCGCAACTCTGAATTGAAGTCGAATGCGGGGCGTATCCTAGAAACGGCAAGGATTAACTTCTCGAGACTATCTCTTATCCTTTATTTGCTGTTGTTGATTGATTTTGTTTATTTATTTATTCTTATTCTAAAATTAATTTGTTTTTCAATTTGTAGGACATGGTGGACACTCACATGCAATTTCGGCAACATTCAGCCACTTGACTTTGACAAGTCCGCCATTCGACGACGTATGATGCCGGCATTGGATCTCAAGGAGAGAAAGGTCCGTTTTCGCGATTTCGTTTTGATTTTCAGAGTCCGTTTCCTTTCAATGGTCTTCTCTCTTTTCTATCTTCTACCTTTCATGCCCTTCTGCCCACTTCATCACTGTCTCTTTTCACAAAAGCGATTTCCCCTCGAAGAATCGGGCAGACTTCCAGTTTTCTGGATGATTAGCCGAAATCATCCGAGTGCACTGCCATCTCGTGATATTGCCATAGTTTTTGGTGATTGTTGCAGATTTTTCGAAACAAATTAGGTATTATTTTGGGACTGCCTGTCCGGGCAACCATCCGAAGTCCTCGAGACAAATTGATAATTCTCACGCAACTCTGCCTCATTGTTCCATTAATTTTCAAGCATGTCACTCCGAACAGCTGATGATGCCTCACGCTAATTCGGAGAGTAGGGGATCACTTGAGGGGCCAGGATTCCCAGAATTCATTACTTTATCCTTTTTAGCATTTGCAGATTTGAACCTTCCCACTATTCCCTTGCCATGGAACATCCAGAAAAGTTCAATTTTCAATCGCTTAAAATCAAACACCTTTTTGTTTCCCCGAGCTGACACATCTCTCTACCATGACAACGACTGACGGCCGGTCGGTCGGTGTACCTACTGAAACAAAATGATTTTAGAGTGGTCTTGTCAGTTTGTAGTGGATGTTCCTGATCATTCCCGCTTGCCGAATGATTTGCCTCCTACTGAATAGGGCTAGGCTCTCCGAGATATGTCACGGCCAGGGAAAACGTCTAGTATATCGGGTGCTTGTTCCATGCTCCATGTCAGATTCAGAAAGTAGAAATTCTCCTCCGGCACATGAAGCGTTAGCCAGCAGCAGGAGCAGTGGTCTCTAACCAATTTCTACTGATATTTTTCATCTTTCTTCCCACCTTCTTTCTCTCTTTAATATTTATTTGATGGGTTACTCAATCAATTATTTATTTAGTCATACCAATGCACCCCAAATGTGCCACATGACTTATCAGAAAAGACTCAATGGCAAAACTTTACTCAGTTTTACTTGGGTTATCAACTAATCCAGTATCCCCTTTTATGAGAGCAGAGAGTCTACAGATCTTCTCTTCCGAATGAATCTTCATTTCAGTCAATTTTGAGAAGTATAGTTAAAAATCTCGAGAAGAACAACCTAATGTCCCAGTTCACTGTGGAAAGTACATGCCCCCATGGAGCTCTTCCAGCCTCTGCAACCAATGTTCTATTGATGTTTTTCGGTCCATTCTCGAAAGCTTGGAAAAGACAGCTTTGAACGCTTCGTTCTGAAGAATCCTCTCCTGCATAAGCACTTCTAGGCCTCAGAAGTGGCTTATCCGATCTGGCAGACCTCAGAAAAACAGCTTCAAGTTGCGCATTACCAGCAAATCCAAAAGAGCTCAAAAAAGCTCTTTACATTCTTTCCAAACTCGACGTAATGAGAAGACTTTGTAGGCTTTGTGACATACCATTTCAGAGGACAGATAAGACTAAATGTCTGTTCGGTTGTCAGTGATTTAGTGGTTTTGACGCTAACATTTGGAATTCACATCATGCTGAAGAAGGAGTTATTTGGGATGTGTTGCTGCCAAAGCGCATATTTCTTCCGGTAGTCAGACGTCAAAGTACCCGTATATATCAGAGTTGTGGGTGCTTGGGAACCATCTAAACTTTATCAACTAGACCCAGAGAATTTGACCCATTACACGCTCAGCAGCGGACTATACCACCCTCATCAGGTTAAAGTTGAAAGAAAACCGATACCCCAAAAGAACCTTTTTGTGAACAAGAGTCTCAGTTTTTCGTTGGTCCTGCTAGTGGTAGACTTCTAGAGATGGATTCACATAAAGGAAAGCTTCAAAGTCAGTTTTTTTTCTATTGATATGAGAAAGGGTCTTAGCAGGATTCTCCGGAAACACTCATCCCTCATTGCAGTATAAGCCTCACGAGACTGGATTTGTCTGGGCTGACTGCCTTTTTTTATTCAGAACAAGGCATGACAACTGCTCTAATCAGTCAAAAGATGTCTTTCTGGATGTCTGTCTGCCATCATAAAACGGTATCAAAAAGTCTTATTGATCGACTGTAAAGAGGCTCCATAGGCTCGAAATATTTCCAATGCACCGTGCGAGTATCTCAACGAAATTCGAGAAGCCTTTTGGAACGCCTGAGCGATGAGGACATCTGTGATTGCTTTGGGGTGCTTCTTACTGCTGGCTCTTATAACATTTCTCACGATGTTTACGATCGCCTTTATGGTGCCTCTGATGGAAATCGGGTTTAGTGATTCTGCCTTCCGTCAGTCATTTCCTTCATACGCCAGCCAGAAGCCCAGAGACTCTGACTGTCGGATATTTAATCAGTCATTCTCCCCCTACGGCCACTGAAAACATCCCGCCATGGCCTAAAGTTTGATAGCCCTCTAATGAGGGCGGAAAAATCGTCCCATGTTTCTTTACGGTTTTTTCAGTCATTAAGAACAAGTCTGCACTTTTTAAACTCCGAAAAAGTTACTCCTGAAGGTCCTCTTCTCAAGGCTGAGCGTAGTTCACCTATCCATTGGTAATTTCTAGTACTTCCTAGACTTTTTTCACCTATCGTCCTCGGAACTCTGCTAAAAGAGTGAATGAAGAAGTGACTTTCCCTTCAAAATCATTCCAATCTAACGACGAGTAATTAGTTTTCCTCGTAAAACTCTTGCACTTTGCTCAATTTCCTCGGATTTTTTCCTTCATTGTATCATTACAGCCCTTCTCCTCCTTAAGAAGGTTGTTAATCAGTCGAGTGGTATTGGGCTTCATTAGTAGTGATACCTACATGAACATTTTCTTTGGAAAACTGAGCTATTACCAACCTTTTTTGAAGTAAGCTTAAGATTTGGAAGGCAGGTTGATACATTGTTCTTTGGCGTTGATCAATCACTTCTATGGGACCCCCACCACCCTATTCGACTTCCATTCAGAATCATAGTGGCGTAGAGAATGCGTCTGTGGCGTATACAATGACCTGCGGTGGCTTGCCGATAGTCTGTGCTTTTATCCTCCCCGATGGGTCAAGTACCAATCAAATGACCCAAGAAGAATTTAAGCCTTAGTTGATGTGGGCGAGTATCTGTCAGGGACTTACCATGGGTATATGCTAGATTGCGCCTCTTTCCGCTAACCGCACCACCTCCGCCCCTCATATTTAACACGAGAATATTTTACGTCTAATTATTGGCTAATTTATGACCCACTGTAATGGAGAGGATATGAGAGCAGCGCTAAGAGCTCTATCCAAGGACCATCCATCATGGGCTAATTGCTTTTCGAAGAGTATTTCCGTTGGCATGTATAAATCTATCTCTTCCCAAATGTCAGTAACTATAGTTCGGTTGAATAACCTTCAATGTTATTAGGAGGGTTACCCAAAAAGAGTTCTGAAACGAACCTCTGGCAATCGACACGTGGACCCCCTTTACATGGAAATGGATACGATGTGTTTACAAAGGATTTCATGTCAGTCCAATACAATTTCCTGATTGAATAAATCTTAACCTCCTACGCCCAGCCGTATGGATTTAGACTTCGTGCAGCTTCGTTTGTCTTGCCATTAGGACGCAGTATTCCAATAGTTTCCATTCCTTCTTTTTTTGGTTCCTTTCTCAAACAGGCAGATAATGCGTCCAGGGATTTCATTGCAAAGCTTCATTTCCTTCGAACTCGAAGAAACCTTCTCACATGAAAATTCTCTAGACTTTGAGTCCTAACGAGCCAGTAAACTGGTTTTTCGATTATATTTTTGCCAATGGGGAGTCGGTTTAAAAATTTTTTGAAAATAATTCTTCTGGTCTCCTTAACCATTGAACATATTTTCTGATTCCTGAACTGACCGCGGGAGCGGAATGAATACGGAGGAGTCTCAACTTAAAACGGTTAGGTAGGTGCTTGGCTGCTCCATCAGGACTCAAGTAGTTGCTGAACATTCTTTTCCTTCTTGACACCCTATCTGTCTGGGTTTATATGTTTTTGAAAACGGAGCAGTTGAAAAAAATGGGAAACTTAAAATAACGGTCCTTGGTTTTTTTTTTGTTTTTCCGAATTCCCATCTCCGGAAACTGTTTCGAATGAACTCCTTCTTTCCGTGCCCCATTTGCCATGTGCTCCTTTCCGTTCGTCCTGAGCGAGAGAGCTGCCATAAGTCTGGACAAAATGATCATATTTGACTTCAATGGGTGCTTACTTTTTCTCGAGGACTCATTTCGGTGGGCCACAGAAGGCGAAAAGCTATTCGCCTAGACAAATGCCTTCATCATACTGTTTAAGCTTTTCTGCCCTCATCCCGATGTTCTACAGACATTCTCGGCGTTCCGGAGGGAAGCCCCGTCTACGTCGACTTCAATCGATTCATGCCTGTCTAACTCATGCCTCAGGAGAGCTCCGGGGCAACATCACATCACCATGCACACACAACACCCACAGTTTTGCCCCGAAATTTCTTCTCGCTTGCCATTTCCCCCTATTGAATCGAAAAACGGCCAGCACTTTCCTGAAAACTGATACAGCTGGTAGAAACTCGGAAACTCCTCCACGTTCCTTGTTCATCTTTCACTGTACAGACCCACTGTTAAGAACGGGAGCTGAGCCAGGTTTTTGAATTTCGTACCATAAGTTCCTTAGCTCCTTGGGATAAGTTGCAGTGAACCTTGTCCGTCTGACATTGAGGAGAGGTACCGAACTCTGATTAGCAATAGAAGTATCGTAGTCTTTCTTAAATTTTAATATGGATTTTTTTAAACTCCATTCCAATTCTCTTTATTCTATTTCGTCCGCTGTTTGCTGTCGTACTGCTTCACTACTTACTCTCCAGTTCGTCATTTTGGTCCCCATCCCTCCTATCTGAAGCGGCTCCTGCTTTCCGTTACAGCCTAGTAATTAGGTTTTTGTTGACAGTTTTTCTCTGGTGCTGCACATTTCCGAATTGGATGAAGAGATTGCCTAGAAAGTAGCTCATTCTGCATATGAGATACGCTAACGATCAAACACCACTCATCGGAGGTTCACTGCTCAGAATAGGGTGAACGAATGGACACTTAATTACGAATCTTACCTTACCCAGAGATTGGTTTTGGTTTTTCGGTAGGGATTTTAAGAGGGATTGAAATCGGATACTAATATGTCCTCAGCTTCTCTAATTACATGTTTTAGTAGGTTATTAAATTAATTGGATAAAAAACGACCGACTTGATGATCAGCGTGCTCACCAAAGAAACACATTTTGAGGTTATCCTAGGTTTTTCCCTATCTCATGCTCAAACTCTATAAACTCTCTGACTGAGCCAT